AGCTGCCACAGATTCGCAGGAAAAACTTCCCTGGATGGGGTAAAACACAGCCCTGGTGAGCAGAAGGGTGTTTGGTGGGCTGCTCTGCTCTGCTCTTTCCTTTTGTCAAAAGAAATTCTCTTTAGGGTTAGGAGGACACAGGGCTGGGATTGTCTTTGCTTCAGAAATCTCGTCCTGAATGTTGGGGTTCAAACTGAGCAAGGTCTGTTCCCTCTCACCCTCAGGGAGGCGTTGGAAGGAATTTTTCTAAGAAAAAGGGGTTACAATCTCTTAAAGTCAATGGTTGAGAATGGTTAAATATCCTGGAGGAGTTTTATGGGGATTGGAGATGGTGGCTGGGGCTGTTGTTTCCAGGTTCTGTGCAGCTCTGTGTGTAACAGTGGGATTATTCTCTTTTCCTTATCCACATTTACATGTTTTATTTACTAATTACTCAAATTTAACCCATCATTTTCCCCCATTTCCTGCTGGATTGCTTGTTTGGAAGAGTAATCAGGAAAGGTGAACCTGAACAGGAGAAGCTGTCCCAGATATATTTGTTTGTAGCTCAGTTTGGTTTGTGAACACTCAGAAAATTTAGGGATATGCTGAGATTTCCTTTACATGCTCAGTAATACGTGRGAGAAGATCCTGTTGCAATCAGATAATTCATAAAAATACCTCTGGAGGTTTAGTATTTTTGTTCTTCCTTGATATGTGTTCAGTCTGGAGCTGGAAGGTGCCATAGTTTTGGAAGCTGGGCTGTTAAATTTAATTTAACAAAGAAAAAGGTTGATTCAACAGAATGAAAAACAAATAGATWAAGATGCTACTGATTTTGTTTTATATACAATTCAACTTTGATACAAAAAGTGCAAAAATCAGATTGATAAGGCACATTACAGACTTTCAAATCTGTGCTTCTTCAGTTTTAGGTGCTGCCTCTGTTCTCTTCAGAATAACCCAGAACACCTTTGGGAGGTGTAAAGCTGATCTTTTTGATCGTTAATGTAAAATTACTGTATTGTATATATACTGGATTTTGTTGAAAGTATAAAATGGCATCCCCCAAGCATTTTAAATTTGAAGAATAAAGTTAGTAATTTGTGGTGCAGATTGGTAAACACTTGAATTTTTGTAGATGTGGTTGCCAATAGAAAAGACCCCTTGGTTTATGCTCTCTGATCTAATAAATATCTTTAAGAGAGGCAGGAAGGTGCTTTGTGTACTCTGTTTTTATCAGACACCAGACAAATCTTAGCACAGCCAGTTACTTTTTTTGATAATCTACTCACTTTAGTTTATAATTATTTATTTTTAAAAATATTATTATTTAAATATATTTTTGTTTATAATTTTTACAATTATAATTATATAATATAGACTTAAGCTGATGGCAACACAAGCCATGCTAGGCCTGCACACATGGTGTCCTATTGTGCAAAAATGAATAAATTCTAAATAAATAAATAAAAAAAAATTCTAAATAAATAAATAAATTCTAAATAAATAAATAAATAAATAAATAAATAAATAAATAAATTTTACAGTGATTTCCCAAATTTCTGTGTCAACCTGAGAGCAGTTTGGGATCAAGCTCTCCGTGATTACAAGCTTAACCTTTTGACTAGCTTGTACAACACCAGTTTTAAGAAGTTAAGCTTAATTTAAGCTTCTTGCAGCATAGCAGGAGCGGATTGTTAGGAGCAGAAGAGGCCTAACTTCATAAAACTCAGCATTTTCTTTGAGCTGTGCCCCAAATCCCTTTGATTCCCGTGATTGATTACAAATTGTACCGTGTGTGCTGTGCCAGTGCATGGCTGAGGAGCCGTGGTGGGATGAATTACCGTGCAGGTRGGATGACTTTTAATCAATACCCTGACAATATTATCGTGTTTAATTTGTCCAGTGGCAGCATTCCACCTCAAATCACGCTGTTGGTTGTGTCAGGGCGGGGTGAGGAATGGCAGGAATGAACTTTTGCTGTATTTTTCCACCMTGACAGGCCGTCATGATCGGGGATGACATCGAGAACGACGTGGGGGGAGCGCAGCAGTGCGGGATGAGAGCGCTGCAAGTGCGCACGGGCAAGTACAGGTCAGTGCAGCCCCTGCTTTTCTGTGCCACCAGGCTTTTCTGTGCCTCTAACAGATCCTTTCCCCTTGCTGTCCATGTATTCTTGCATTTTTTTCCTGCACAAGCCCCTTCTCATACAGCAGAAGCTTGGCTGGATGGGGATATTTCCTTTTGGGATGCACTATGTGTGTGGAAGTGGCACAAAGGGGAACACAGAATATCCTTGATCTTTTGAGGAAATATTTTCTGCTAAATTACTGTTTTATTTTTTTGGTCACAGCACACAGAAATGGTGTATCCCCTGACTTTCTATCATTCTAATCCCATCAGTTTCCTAATGGAGAAAATRAGGATTCAGTGGTTGATTTTATTCTGATATTAATGGGACCACTTTGCAAAGCCACATTTCATTGCCACACAGATAGAGGTGTGAAGGAAGAGGGAAGGAACTTCACACAAAAAAATAAATGCTTAGTTTCTTCTTGCTGCTGCATGGAAGTGTTGTGCACTTGATAAAAGCCGTGTCTCAAACCTGCAGCAGGGTCAGGGTTATAAAATTAGGCTGTTGACTCAGCCACCCCTGTGATTCATTTTTCACAGTTTAGGAAGGGCTCCATATGCCTGCTCTTCCCTCCAGACACATTTTCAGCACTGAGGTGTCTGAAACACGAGAGCTGCTTCTCCAGAGGGAGAAGGTGTTGCTCTGCAGGGTCACTGCTCTCTCCAATTGACCCCTCAAACCCCTCCCTGTGCAGGATCTGTGTTCTCACTGAGCTGTCACACATCCATCTGCTGAGGRGGGACCCAAGTGCACCCCTGAACTGCACAGAACCCAGTGCTGAGCAGGTGTTGGGCCAGGCTGGGTTTGAGCTCAGCTCAGGGTGACTCAGAATGCAGTGCAAACATCTGTCCCTCCATTTAACATTCTGATCCCAACACTCAGAATCTCCTTTTAACCATCTCCTCTTACCCATAACGGTGCCTCCTTGGGGTRTGGTTCAGCCTCACCCTCTGTCATTTGATGCCATTGTGTTTTCAGTTTTTCTTCATTTTCAAATACTGAGGCTGCAAAAGAAAGATGCTCCTTTTGGGAGTGATGCAGCACATGAGAATCATGCTTGCCATAAACTGAAAAGTTATTTTGTTAGTTTTTCAGTCAGTCTGTTCCTCCATTTTCCTTTTGAGTTTGTATAAAATGATAAAATAATACCCAGTGCCTTAATTCTAATGGWCCAGTAAGAGATGGTTTCTGAGGGAAAAAAAGTCAGGTACAAGTGTGTTGTATTTTCTATAATTTTAAGGTATTACGTCTAAAAATCAGATATGTATGTGAATAAAGCTTAGAAAATCCCAAAGATGAAAGAAGTAAATATATATTTGATGCTTTTGGGATTATTTGTCTGTAATCTTTGTAGTCTCAGGAGCTGGACTTGATGACCCATGTAGGTCCCTTCCAACTCAGGATTTTCTATCATTYTAATCCCATCAGTTTCCTAATGRAGAAAATAAGGATTCAGTGGTTGATTTTATTCTGATATTAATGGGATCACTTTSCAAAGCCACATTTYATTGCCACACAGATAGAGGTGTGAAGGAAGAGCGAAGGAACTTCACACAAAAAGGTAAATAAGATCTTTGCAGCTGCACAAATCTCTCCTGTTCCGTGCTTTGCCCATCATAAAATGTGCTCCAGGTGATGTTGCACCCACACTGCTCAGGCAGCTGACATAAACTCCACGTACACACACACAAACACACATCAATATGCWTCATCACATGCCAGAAAAACATCTTTTTGTATCAACTTGGAGTCACAATTTCACAGCTGAGAGGGAGTCACCAGCTGTTGGAGATGGGGAACAAAGATTTCTTGCCACAGTTGTTTTCCTGTTTCGCTGTGTGGTTGGTGTTTTCTCAACTCATGCATTCTTGCAGAGCAGTGAAATACAGATGAGTGTCTCTCTCAATTCCCCTCGTGGTGCCAGCAGCTGGGAGTGAAATGAAATAACTCCTGTTTGCCAGGAGGGGTCAGGGGTGTATCTGTATTTTTAAGAATGACTAAATTCAGTATACTTAAAAAAATCAATGTCACACAGCGAGGGGGGAGAGAGAGATGGAAAAAAAAACAAACGATGGGCAATAAATTAGAAATAAATAAATGCAATTATTTGGTGGTGGGGTTAGTTTAAAGTCTGGTCTGTAAGTTGACATGCAGGTCCTGTGTGATTCTCCAGCCCTTGCTGACACAGCTCTGTGCTGCATCCGAGCACCTCTGGATGGCATCCTTGGCTTGTGCACATCAGCGTCAGTCACAGCTGAGGGTGTTTGGCCAGAAGAGTTTTGGAGCACCAAGGGATTGGGATTTTACCTGCTGGTGTGGTGGGATTGTCACAGGTTTCAGCCASAGMAGCACAGAATGGTTTGGGTTGGCAGGGATCCTGTTRTCCCCCTCCATTCTCACCCAAAATCTGTCCTTGCATTGTCACCTGCAGTGCTCAGGTGTGCCTGGGGTAGCTCTGCTCATTTCAGGACTCAGTGCAGTTTACATGGACATTTTAGGAAAGGATTCTTCTGTCCCCAGAGGGTGCTGGCACTGCCCAGGCTCCCCAGGGAATGGTCCCAGAGCTCCAGGAGCGTTTGGACAGCACTGCCAGGGATGCACCGTGGGGATTGCTGGGGTGTCTGCAGGGACAGAAGGACTGGATGATCCTGGTGGGTCCCTTCCAGCTCAGGATATTCCATGATTCTACAGTTCTGTGCTTTTTGAGGTCTGCAGCCCACCCAGTCCCAGCTCAGGTTTTGCAGGGCTGTGCCCTGGGGCTGCCCCTCCCCAGGCTCTCCCCTCCTGAGCTCTGCTCCCAATGTGAGACTCAAAATGTGCATTAAACTGCTGCAAAARCATTCAGTTTGCACCACTTTGCACGGAGGTCCTGCACATTGGCTCCTTTGCCTTGCTTCTCTTGGATCTTGCACATTAGTTAAAATGTTAAATTAAATCCTGTTTCCTTTAATATTTCCTGTGCCCGTTCCTCCTCACACTCAAATGTTGAACTTTCTCCGTAGCCAAAGCAGGCACGGCATGGATTAGTCCAAGAAATGTTATAAATCCTGTCTGCAGCATAATAAAATAAAACTTCTGCTCTTCCCACACCGGGTGTGTGCTAATTGCACTGGCAGCTAATTGGCCTTGACATCAGACCAATGATTCCCACAATAACTATTGATTCTGCACTGCTGTGTAATATCCTCGCTCCTGTTTGCTGCTTGCAAGTTAGAGCAGGGAAAAAATGACTTTGAGGCTTGTCCAAGTGTCTCCCTGAAACTCTAAAAACAGCTTTGAGGTGTGTCAGATCACAGCTGGGTCTTGGCAGGGGTGACAATGACTTTCCTCCCTTCTCCTTGTTGTTATTTACAGGTCTGGATTGGTAAATAAAAAGTTTTCCATTGCTGGTGTGTGGCAGTAGCCAGGGATATTTCTGGCAGTGGTGCCCACTGTGAGCTCTGGGATGGTTTTGGGATTTGCCAGTGCAGGTTCAGCCCCTCTCAGTGCCCACCTGGGGTTTTTTTCCCTTTGATCAGGGGTTTATCTCATGGCTGTGGCTGATGCTGACACATCCCTGAGCTGCCTCATTACAGACATGAAGGATTCTCCAGGGATGGGGGATAAAAGGATGGAGCCCCCCAAGAGCTGCCATCTCCCTCAGCTCTGCCACTGTTCTCCAGGAGAACTGGGTCAAGTTACTTCATGTATCCCTGCTTTTTAATTATCCTCTGAGAATAATTATCCTGACTTCCTTAATAAATGCCCTGTGATCTGTTCCTCTTTTCTGATTAAAGAAAACACACAGAATTTGTAGAAAATTGGCTTGCCAGGAAAGAAATCGAGACGTGACCAAGACAAAGTTGGGGCAGAGGAGAAATCTTTTAGGCTGCTGTTGTCAGCKGATTAAGGATTGAGAAAAACAGGTTGAGTCATTAAATGAAGCTCTAAAAGTATTCTTAAAAAAATGTCCACATATTGATAAATTCACTGCTGTCACTGTGTAGTTCAGTGAAAGCTCATGACAACTTCTGTGARGAAAAAGTCCCCTCTTACTGCTCTGCAGGGAWGGAGCATCCTCCACCCTGCCTTTCYTGCTCCCTGTGTTACTAACCCAGCCAAGATGAACAACTTGAGGAGTTCTTTCCCATCTCCTGCTCTCCTCCAGTGTAATGAGCAGGCAGAGGCACTCCCTTTGTGCTGAAACACAGCCAGAGGCATCCTCAGAGCCTCACATCCTGATCATTAACCCTGTTTCAGGTATKAAATGGAAAGACTTCTGACCCATATTTGCACTGTGTTATACTTCATGTTGGTTAATGTCCTTAGCAATGTTTGTTAAAACCTGRTGTCAGCACGTTGGTTGTGATATCTGATAGCAGGCATAGCCTTATCACCATTTATTGCATTTYCAAATCATGGTTTGCTCTCTCCATGAGAGAGTCTTCAGATGTTTTTATCAATTTCTTGACCACCATTTGGTTACTAAAATATTTCAATCAGCTCTGTAGAGGAAGCTCAGAGTAAATAAATACTGCAGTGCCTCAGTTTGCACTTCTGATCCCAGGCTTACATCTTCCCAGTGTATTCCAGTGTCCAGTCACAAAAATTAGTAGCTCATGCATGAATTTAGTTATCTTCAGTCTAAAAGAGAAGTGTGAGTTTGAGTGGGGTTTATTAGCAGGTGATTTATTTTATTGGTAGCATCATAAACCCTGAGGGAGCAGAGTGTGCTCAGTGCTCTGTTTGTGCTCATGTTCTGAAAAAATCAGTCTGAATAATAGAGAAGAGATGAGTCTGCAATGAGGGGAGGATGACTCAGGGAGGAATGGCAGGATTGTGTGAAAGGAGGCAGCTCAGGGGTTTTTCAGGGCTGCTACGGGTGTGTTCTTCTGTGATCACAGCACCCTCTGTGACCCCAGCACAGTCCAGGAGATGGTCTGGGCTTATTTTCATCCCTASAGGCTTTCCTCAGCTCCTG